TATTGGTAGGAAGACTTAGAGGAACGCACCTAGTCCAGAGTCCATTGTATGCATGATCATTTCCAAAGTCAGACCGTGGACGTGGTACTTTACCAGACATTTCGCCGGCATCGTCAGTCAGTCTCGCCATTCTTAGCACCATAGTACAGCTCGTCAAAGAGACAAGTGAAGCCCATCCTTTGATCAAACGTGTGCTAAACAGTTGTGGTATCTCTCCTTCTGCCCTGGGCTATTTACATTTCCTATATCCTCCTATCACGCCTTCACTGTTACACTTTTTACCGTGTTTATTTCAATGTAGTGTGGTGTGCTCCTTCGAGCGGCATTCATGAATACCCTTCACGCTCCACACTGTCGTTCTCACACCCTTCACTCTTGTGCTGGGAATGTTGACCAGAGTCTGCCATATTGTTACGTAGTCCTCTTTCCCTGGGTCCTATCAGAGTCTCCTCTTAAAGTCTTTCTTTTAATCACTAGCCTTATGGATAACAATAAGGACAATTTTTGATCTAGTCTTTGGCTCCATACGAAAAAGAATGGAGCTATGAATATCCATGTTTTTTCAACATATCCACAGATTGTGACCAGTTCACAGTTCAAAATCAAACTCATCATAATCCTTCATTGCCTACGTCTAAAATTACATATTAAGGCTTTTACCCTAAACCCTCATGCGTATTTCCAACCTTTCCTTTTGTTATTACATGACCTAATCTCTCCTAACCTCATATTTCATCTTGTTTCTAGTACAAAACACTACTCTGCTGCAACAGGCTGAGGAAAAAGCTGCTAAAACTGCGCCACTGAAGCAACCGCTTCTTACTCAGCGGCACGAGCTGCGCCGGAACGCATCTGTAGGGATGGATGAACAGCTTATTCTTGGTATAGACATTCCAGAATCTGGTAATAAGGTCCAAACTGTAAATATCGCCCATCTTGCTGATTGCACATCCTCCGCTGCTACGACCACCACTTCCACCGTCACCAGTGCAATAGTCACTCCAACTACCGCCAGCAATGCCGAAATCTCCACGGTCGATGCAGTCACTAACACTGTTTTCGATAACTTACGAACTAAGGCCACAACTATTTCTCCTCCCTCCACCCCGGCCACCTCAGTTCTGGGTACCAACACCGTGCACCGTACTGAGGTCATTATGGCCGGTTGTTACTCTGCAGCGCATAGGGCGCGTCTAGCTTCTGCCTTCCCGTGGGGCGATGAGTCACCCTCATTACCACATGACCCGACCCAGCTGGCAGTTGTGCCACGTAATTTTGCTCCTGTCCTGTTTGAAGGCAGATCACTTCCAGAAGGATTGGCATACTCTTCTGGCGACACAGGTGAGTAAGAAATTTTACACTTACTATAATTCGTTTTGCATTTTGATAGCCAGACAATCTAGTTTCTTGGGCCGTTTTTAAGAATGATGACGGGGTCCTCGCCCTTAGGCTACTAGGTAGGGTCCAGAAATGTTCTATTTGGGGCTTTTATTCGATTTCACTCAGAATCCTATCAGTTTTTATTTGCTTTAAATTGAAAGTTAACAAATGAACAAGAGGAGTTGATGGAGAGATTTGATATTAATTTTAATTCTTTTTGTAATGTACCAAAATCCCGCATTCTCATGCCTTCATTCGCCGCATTTAGCACATCAAGTGGTATCAATCGAATCTGAGCCCCCTGTATAAGTCGGAATAGGAATTTAGTGTTGGCTTGACCTCAGTTTATGCACTTCTATTCAGTCATCTAATTCGCCCAACTTTTGCAAGTTTTTCCCTGCTGCACTTGAAGATAATTGTCTTGTGCTAGTAGACTTGGGTTCCGGCCGCCGTGTCTGTCATTCTCAAGGATTTATTCACACGGGCCCATGAGGGAGATCCGGATAGGAGGCCTGAGTCGGATTAGCCTATCGA